CTCATCTCCACCACTCTCTCCCAAATCTTCATAGTATGGCTCAACAATTTGATACCCCTGTAATTGTTACAGTTTTGGATATCACCCTTGTTTTTATACAACGGGACCATTGTACTCCACCTCCATTCTTCAGGCATTTTTGCTGTCTTAAAGATAACATTAAACAGCCCAGTTAACCACTCTATGCCTGCCTTGTCCATGTTCTTCCAAAATTCTACCGGAATCTCATCGGGTCCGGTCGCTCTTCCCCTGCTCATCCTACTAATAGCCCGTATAACCTCCTCGGGCGTAACGCACCTACAGTATCCAAAATCCCGAAGTCTTTCAGAGTGTGCCAAATCACCCAACACAATGTCCGCTTCCCCTTTTTCATTTAAAAGTTTGTGAAAGTAGCTTCGCCATCTTTGCTTGATAGAGGTCTCTTCCACCAGTATTTTGCCTTCCTCATCTTTGATACACTTCACTTGGTCCAAGTCGCGCGCCTTCCTCTCTCTTGCTTTTGCGAGCCTATACAACTTCTTATCCCCACCTTTGTCCCCCAACTCGACATACAAGCGTTCGAAAGCTGCCGTCTTCGCCTTCGAAACAGCTAACTTAGCTTCTGTCTTTGTCGTCTTATAGACTTTCTTAAGCGTCCGCTTCTCTTCCTCGTCTACGCACTCCGCCAATTTTGTGTATGCAGCCTTCTTCGCTTCCACTTTACCTTGGACTTCCCCATTCCACCACCAATCTCCTTTATGTCCTCCAAATTTACCCCTAGACACCCCTAGCATCTTAGAAGCAACTTCCCTAATGCAACTAGCTGCTTTATTCTAATTAACGAAATCAATGAGGGAGTTAACCAAAAGTTTAAACTATGGAGAAAATAAGGGTGTGAGGATATGTAGGAGTAAGACTGGATATATTCACGACAACTTAAGTCAGGATAAGAAGTTAAGAACAGTGAAGTTGAGGTGAGATAAGGCAGGATCTTGGTGTCTCAATGCATAGAAATCAGATATCTAGACTCATTATATATTAGGAAAATGGAATGATAGATGAAGATAAATATGACACATAGAATCAAAATCGGATGATTGAAATGGAGAAGTATTGCTAAGAGTGTTGTTAGAATGTCGTGATAAAATGATGCCTACCAAAGTAACAAGTAAGTTCTATAGATCAGTTATGAGACCAACAATATTATATGGAAGTGACTGTTGGGCATTAAAGTCCTCCACGTCTACAATATGAGTCTCGCAAAGATGCAAATATTAAGATGTAAATATGCTCATACAAGATTAGACAAGATTAAAAATGACAATGTTTGACAGAAGGTGCAAGTAGCACACATTGAGGATAAAATAAGAAAAGGTCTATTGGGATGGTTTGGTCATGTCCTGCGTTGATCTCCAAATGCAACAATTCATAGGCGTGAAACCATGGTGAGTGAATGTGTTAAAAGGCCGAGGCAGAATTAAAATCACATGGAAGGAGTTATCTCGTAATACTGCAATTTCTTAGTACCATGCAAACTTAGCGAAAGATAGGTACAATGAAAAGGATTTATATAGGTGATATGCCCTTGGGCCTTGGTCTAGTGGTAAAATGTAATTTGTGATCTGTGGGTTCGGCGCACGTCAGGGGTTCGAATTTTACTGCAGACAAAAGCCTGGCATTTAAGTTGAGGGGTGGGTCTATTATCTACCGAGTTTTGGACTGTGAGCCACTGGCCCTCAGGGATGTCTCAATTATTAAAGAAATAAAAAAGGATCTATATAGGTGTTATATGTTTTAGTCATGTCAGTATGTTTACTTTAGGTCCTATGCTTTCTTTGAGTCTATTAGCCCTTTCAGAGATGTTTATTTTAGTAAAAAATGTAGTTAACTCATATCACTCTTTATTTGTTATTCTTTTGGTTCTTTTATTTTTATTCTACATAATGTTGGTATAATATGAATTTAAATGGAGAATCATGGTTGTGAGGATTCATATAGCTAATCATGGTTGTTGGCATTTAATAGATTAAGACACTGTTTTGCATGTTACAATTCACAAAGATATGATCCTGACAGTTCATAGTAGTTTGTGTGTCTGTATTTTATAATATGTAAATGCACCAATAGAGTTCATGCATATATACATTGTAAATCTTTTGGTGATTGAGTGGGGATTTGTTGTTATTTTTTTGCTTTTGGCATTTTAGCGGAATTATTTAGTATTGAAACAAAATGGATCTGAATAGAGAAGATTGGATATATAAGATTCATCTAGTGTACCCCTAGCTGAAATTGGGATTAGGGAATGGTTGATTGATTGATTGAGTTGTTTTTGAATTAGCAGTGTGAAAATTATGGTCTTTCCAGTATTTAGAGAGAAATTGGTATAGCTGCAATACTTACTTTCTATCCCACTAAGCGAAGAAAAATAGAAGACGCAACAATCATAGTCATAATTATATTAACTCCACAAATATACGTTGGTTTGATGTTTTTATGTGGAATCGGGGACAGGCAATCATGGTTGGTCAAGTTGGCCAGATACCTATACAAAAGAGGTTGAAAAGTGGGAGGACAGTGACTCTGCTATCCCTTGGAACAGGTGGAATTCGGAACAACAGGAGGCCGTTTGATAATGAAGAGCCAGGAGAATATGCCAATAGGTGTGCGGTTCAGTGGCACAGAGTCTCGGTCTATCCAGAGAGGTTGGGGGAAATGGCCGTGAAGAGTATTGTTCCTGGGTATGCTTCCGGTTTCCTCCATCTCGTTACTGTTTAAGTTAAATTTGGTCTTATGCCATTCATTTATGCCTGTGATTTCCTGTGTTAGCTAATGCTTATCATTGTTTACTTAAAAAATTCAACCTGACGAAGGTTGTGTTAATCTAGCCACTTTTAATTTTATTTGTTGTGAAGTCAATATAATAGCCTGCTTGAAGGTTAAGCCTTTAATGAGTTGCAATAAAAAAATTGGCTTATTCGCTGCTCTCGCTTTTACCTAAATCATAAGAATCCCAAAAGAAAATTTCAGTACATCCCTAAAAGAATAGTTCAGTGTTATACAACACAATCTTTTTAAAAAATGTATAACTAATTGCTAATTTTTCAGCCAAATTTGAGGGCCATTTTCCTCCCAGGAAGGGAAAAGCGATTGAATTTGGCTATCTGGTGAAAACTTGTTGTGCATTTTTTACTGAATGCTTACTTTCTGTTGATCTGTATTTTCATACTTTTGCTCATCTCCTTTCAAATGATCTAACCTTCTGATAATTGTTTGATGCACTGCAAATTGTAGTTCAATCTTGTATGTGGAGGGTAATCTTGAAACAAAAATCTTCACTGATCCTATCACTGGTCTCGTACGGCGCATACGAGAGATTGCTATACGAAAAAATGGTAATTTGCTACTTTGTTTTTTCTACTTCTTCAGTGAAGTTTAGTTGCTTTTTCACTTTTGTGCATATAGTTTTAATTTTGGCATAATGCATAAATTGCCCTTTAACTTGGCCTCATTCACATTTATGCCCTCCATCTTTGGGTGTGCACAAGTAGGCACTTAAACTTGTGTAAAGTTGAACAAGTAGACACGTAGGATCACGTAGGACGGAAATTGTCATGTAGAATGCCACGCAAGACGTGTGTGTTTATTTGTTCAACTTTATACAAGTTTAAGTGTCTACTTGTGGGCACTCAAAGTTGGAGGGCATAAATGTGAGTTGAAAAGTCAAGTTAAAGGGCATATTTATGTATTATGCCTTTAATTTCTAAATCTATTTCTGCATCATGCTTATTTTCTACTTCACTACAGTTAGTTTCTCTTGCATTTTCCTGCATGTAGTTTTTAAACTAAGTTGCACAGTCTCTTCACTTTTAATTCTGCACCCGTGTTGGATTCTCCAGAAATACGCTACTTTTGGAGAATCCAACACACCCATTAACATTTTTGAAGCGTACAAGCAACATAGGTTTTAAATTCTGTTTTCTATTTCAGCCCTATGCATAGCTTTTATTTTGTTCTCTAGTATGCCATCAGAAATGAGTCTTGTGCTTTCTTTGTCTATATACGTGTTTAGCCTTGACTAGAAATTGTATACTCTCTTTGGTCATACTAGGTTGGAAATATACATATATTCTAGTGTCTAGGTTACCGTGCTTGTGTGACCCTCTGAGCAACTGCTTCTTTTGAAGGCTGGGTTAGTTGCTGCAGTAACCTTTCAAGTCAGCAAATTGCATTATGAGTTGATCTCTTTTTTCCATCTTCTATCATAGCAACCCTTTTAGTTGAACTTTGAAGATGACCTGTAGAACTCAAATTTATGTGCTTCAGGTGAAAAGTACCTAGGTGCTATACTTGAATGAAAAGCCAATTTTGAAGAGCTTCAAAGCAAACAATAGATGCATCTTGCACTGGATTCTGAAACCACCTAGAATTCATTGATATGCAAGTAAAAACTAAGTTGTGTCTTGATAAATAAGGAATTGTTTCTGAAATCTCATGGTACCCGCTAATGGAGGCACCAACTCTATGATCAGAGCATGTGTGCTATCATTTTAACTGGAGAAAGTTTTTCGTTCTAAAGCATGGGTGGTATGATATTCTAGCTCATTTGTACTTGTAATCTTGTGGCTTATTAATACCTGTAGTGATGCATGATGAGCAATAGGTACAGGAAGATTACAAAGTTGTTTATTGTCCATCAAGAAGAACCTTTATGAATCCTAATTCCCCGGGCATTGCAGGTCGTCTGGTTTTCCTTGGGAATGGAGGGAATGAAGGCCCACAGCAATCACAAGCAGAAATCAAAGGGGTTGGTTATTACTAAGAGTGGGACGGACAGGCTTGCAATGACAGCAACTGAATCTTAACGTCGATGTATTGTTGTCGAGTTGTCTTTATCATTTTCCTCACATTAATCCTAGGAGTGGTTGTATTCTGATAATTTGTCACCTGTCCTACTGGTTAAGTTATTCATATAAGCTTTGAACTGTGACACCCCTCGTTGTCTCTTCCAGTGACGACTCAGTTCTTTTCGAGTGTCTGGTGACTGTGGTTTTGCTTTTTGGAGGGCATCTTACAAGAGAGCTACTGATGCCTACGATAGTGTTGTCTCTTTCTCCAAGTTGAGATGGCCATCGAAAATAAGTCAGCAACATTTTATTTGTATTATGATATCGCCTCGATAAAATAAAACTCATTAAGATTCACCAAAAAATAGCCTTCGTGTAGTAGGATCTGTCATAAATCATGGTAAAAGCAATTCACTTATAAATTTATAAATCAAATCAAATTAATGAAGTTGGATTTTTCAATCTCGGATTTTTTTTGGATTTCTTGTTTTTTGTGGTTGGATGTGAATTATCTTTAAGCAGTTTTTAGGATAGTCAAATTCAATCATCTTAGGACTTAATTGACCCTTCAATTAGGGGTGTACTATGTATATGACAGCGTTGGTTCGGATTTTTCAAATATCGAATCAAACTAATTATGTCGAATTTTTAAATTTATAAATCAAACCAAACTGATAAAATTTAGATTTTTTTTGTGTTTTTCTGATTTTTTAAAGTTTTTTTGGTAAAGTATCCATACAAACATACAATTAACTTGGTACTCCAAATATTTCTTTAGTCCTATAAAATACAACTATCTAACTTCTAAGGTGTTTCTTAAGAAAATAACACAAAATATAAGATGAGTGATAATACTAAAATATTCAACAACAAATAATAATGAAATAAATATTACAAATTAAAAAATCATAATGAAAATGATTATAGTTTAAAAGCATTAAATCATGCTAAAATAAGTCTAATAAGTATTAATTAATACAACATCTGAAAGGCAGCTAGCTATACGTATGCACAATTAACAATTCCATTTGAAACAACAAAACTGAAGAGTTGGAAAAAACCAAAATACTCTAATATCATTTGCAGGTCATTAGAACAGCAAGCTGCTTGCACAAGAAACGCAGCAAGCTTGAACACCATGAATTATTGGGGCGGGTTATATCAGATTGAATCGATTTTAAATTGAATGGACTCTTTTAATCTTAGTCGTTCACGTGTCTCTCTATTAGATATAAGGGTATATTTAGCCGAAAGTATAATAGGAGGGGTATATTTAAACTATTTTCAATAATATATGGGGAATATTTTCTGTTAAACAAATATTCAACATTATTATCATTCTTAGTATTGATTTTTTTTTTTGAGAACATTAGTATTGATTTGATTCTTACAATGAACAAGTGGTCAGGGAAATCACAGAGGAATAGAACGAATGATCCGTCACAGAGCATACTCTAGCCATAGTATCCACTTGAATTAACTTATTGTTAAGTGTTTTTGCTTTTTAAATAAAAAAAAATTTAATTTTTTTTTAAAGGTATTTGAAAAAGTTATAAAGTGATTTTAAGCACTCACTTTTAGGCCAAAAACGTTTTAAAATAAATCAATAGTCAAAAATAGGTATCATCTACTTACGTGAATGCATATCTTTTCATTATTTTTTGCCTAAAGCATCTACATGCATGTAAATAACCTCCTTTTGAAAAGTACAAAGTTTGTTCCTTCAACTTGATATTCTAACTTAGGTTTCTAGTAAATTACCAACATCATTTTTCCATTTTAGTTAATTTATGCGCTTATTTGGACATGTGGTATAAGATGTTTGATATCATGCTTTATTTCACTGCCTTATCAATTATATATAGGTTCTTTTTCAGCTTAATACATTATCAACTTGTTAAACTTATTAGAGATTGAGTCACATGTTATGTTCTCTGTTGACGAGAAACTGACCCTAAACCCCAGCAGCAGCCATGTCTGCGCACATCTCTCCCCGGCCTTTGGTTGAAGGAGAGACAAACCCTAATCTTAATCAACAAACATCCTTTGCTACTCGATTAACCACAAATCAGGCTGCCTAAATTTGACAAAAAATCAGTTGAAACAGATTCAATATGTACATGGAGAGCCTACAATTCAATTCACAAAGGGAGAACGATAGGCTTTCGCACAGGAAGAAGGATTACATCAAGCTGTAATTATTAAGTTCTCATCTGATACACTAGAAGTGAAGGATTTGCGAACAGTTTTACCTAAACACTTGGGCATCAAAGGAAACTGTTTAGTTGATTTACTTGCTCGTAGACATATTCTGCTAAGGATAAACCAATATGAAGATTATGTGGTTAATCTATCAAAATCGGTAAGCGTTTTGCCTTTTAATGGAGAACAACATCTTTATAGGGTATTTTCTTGGACAATAGATTTCAATTCAAGAGAAGAAACTTCAATGGCCACGGTGTGGATTTCATTGCCTTGATTATCACCAGATTTATTTGCCAAGAGATCCTTGTTGTCGATGGCATCGGCAGTTGGAAGGCCAATAACTATCGACAAGGCAACACAAGACAAGACAAGGCCTAGACTGCTAGGGTGAAGGTGATATTCGATCTTATGGACAAGCTGCCTAAGAGGATGCGTCTCCAGTATTTGGACGAGAAGACCGGTAAGATTCAAGAGGTTTTTTAGGAATTTGTTTATGATAATTTACCTTTATATTGTAACCATTGTAAGCATCAATGTCACAATAAAAACGGTTGTCGATTGATTTTGAAAAAGAATCAAGATAACAATCACAAAGATAATGGAGTGGTTGGAGATGAACAATTCAATAGTGAGAAGTTTCAAGGTGATTTACGACAAATTTTAAATGAGAAGAGGGGACTAACAAACATAGATCGAAGTATTGATGATAATACTCGAGTTTCAGATGCAAATAGTAATGAAATAGCAATGGTGGAAGCCATAAAAAATAATGGAGATCGAGTTGTAGCTACTTCTGTTCGAGATGATATTCTTAATACTACAGTTACACTAAATTGCACCTTAGCTACAGTCTCGCAGACTTTGGTTTAGGGTGCAAAGGATGGTGTTACTAGTGATTTGTTGGTTCCTGTGATTAATTTGGAGTCTGATCTAGTTTCGAATCCTAAACTACCTACTGCTGGTGTTTTATCTGGGAAAGATCCTAGTTTGGCCACGATTGAAGATTATGGCCAGGATACTAAGGTGCAGCAGTGTGAAGAGAATTTGGATCAAATTTTCGAATATGGTGGTACATGTGATCATGACTTCACTTTGAAGGACAATGATAAGGGAGGCTGGACTGAAGTACCAAGCGAAACGTTTTCTCGAGGTAACACCAAACTACAACAACTAGATCGCACAAACCCAACACGCAAGGAGTAAACGATAAATTGTGAATATAAAGTATCAAGGAAGGTTGTGTGCTCTAACACCTTTGATGCCTTAAGGATCAATTCTGATCAAGAGCTCCATGCATTGTCCACTCCAATTCTTCAAGTTTCTAATCCATAAACTACTAGAATAATCAAGGAGACACATGCCGCAATGTTGAATAAAGAAAACTCAATGGTCAAACCACCTATGGCAACAATCAACACCTCGAATCATGATGTTCCTAATTCTCCATCGTTGGAGTCGTTTGGAGAGCAAATATTTGGACAACAATCAATCTCCAAAAGGAATGACAAGAGTTTGGGAAGGGAAACAAGTGATTCTAAATGGGCGTATTTAGTTGAGGAAGAAGAACATATTTCTGCACCTACAAGGAGTAAGTTGAGTCCTCAAGCACCCATATTTGTGCATTCAAGTAAGGAAAATACATCTATGGCAATGGCAATTGATAACTCCAAAAAGATCTTGACCATCACCACCAAGGTATTGGAAAAAAGCCATGAGCCAGAAGCTGGAGTTTCAAGACTTAATCCAACTACAACTTATGATAGTGACTTGGGCGGTGAAAAGTTTGAAGAGGATGATGAGGATGATATGCTAGACATATTATTTGATAAGGTAGCCAAATATGGAGATCTCTCGCCTAGACAACAAAGAAGTGGAAACAACAAAAACAAAAAAAAGACACATGAAAGGCAACATAGTTGGGATGGTAAGGTGACTGAGGAATTTTATTCCAAGGCACCTACCAATGCGACTGACAAAGCAAAATCATATGACAATTTCAACAACAACACGATCCAGTAAAGCCAAAAAGAAGTGATGAACTATCAAGTTTTGTTGGACATATTTGACGAAGAAGAAAAGAGGGGAAATACTTCAGGTTACTTTACACGGGCAATCCATCTCTTTTAATTCTTACATATATAAAATGAAGTTTGAGGTTGATAACTCAACTTTATTCTTAGATTATGTATTTTTGCTTACTTAAGCATCCTCATTTGTAGTATTATCACAGAGTGTATCATAAACTCTATGATGATCATATAATATCTAGTTTTCTCTAGCTCTTATTTTCTTCATGCTTGTTAATTAGTAGAGGTTCGTTACCTCATTAAGATTAGTAAGGTAAGGCCTAGCCCTCCTTGCTTGTACTTTTCTCTTTGAGATCATTTTTCTCTTTATTAATAAAACTAGCCCTAGGCAATCATTTCCTAGCGGAAGTGATTTTAAAAAAAAAACTTGTTAAACTTGTCAAAATTTCCATTTAGACATTCGATCTAAGTCATGTTTCAATTGAACACTTCAATTCATATTAAAGTGATACATATAAACATATGTATTTTGTTGCTTCATTCTATAACAACATGTATACAACAAATGTGTCTTAAAAGAAATATGAATACAAATACAGTGTTGAAAAGTATGATACAATGTATCCTTTTCAGATTCCTCTGTTTCTTCTTGGACATTTTTAAAGATTTCGAAAGTTCAAGACTTTGTTTTCTCTTGACACACTTTGACCCTTGATTTCGAAAGGTCATTGTGAAATCTTTATTTGCATCTCAATTGCCAAAAAAGAGGAACATCCAAAGAATGAGCATTGTATTGTACACCTCTTATAACCCTCTTCTGCTCTGCCATTTAAGTATGAATGTTAGAAGTTTCTTTTGATAAATTACCGGATTGCCGTCATCACTGAACATTCCTTCCATGAGGTATTCATAA